AAGCATAATAATAGATTTACTTTATGTTTTTAACAGATTATATCAATTACAGTTAATTGGTCGAACGTCTTCTAAAGATAGAATACACAAAATTATGCTGAGGTAATCAAAAACAGTATTGGACTCTTTTACAATCAGGGTGTCCGCAGCTCCTCTAAAATCTTCTTAAGTCCTCTTTATTTTAAAACCACTTTTAAAATCCTCTATTATCCACTCAAAAGGTAAATATTTGATTAAAGCTTCTCTTTAACTTCTCTTTTTTTAATGTTAGATGGAAGTGTAACGTTCAAAATACCCATTCTCGGTCTGCAAAACTAGTTAAAGCTTTAAAGTGCATGGAATTGTAAAAAATTGCTTAGCAAATTCATGCTATTTAACTTAAAAAATGACATTATTTGATCCCTGTCCAAGCCCCAGAAAAGTATAAACATGGACGTTAAACCATTAATAAATGGCCACTTAAAATATATTACAAAAATTTTATGTGGCCACCCTGAAATTTAATTTTCAATTCTAGAAATGTTTTATATTTTGATTAATAGTTTATTTTGAAAAAAGGTTGTTTTATTTAAATTAAATACTTGAAAAAGTTATTAATAACTAACTAACAGTTAATTATTTTTTAATATATCATAGTTTTTTTGAAAAGTTATATGGCCTCCATGGATATGAAGGGCAAATGTGGAAAAATATGTTTTTAAGAACACTAATCTATATGGCGTTGAAAAAGATATATCTTTATTAGTTGTAACTCTTTTCCATCGGTTATATATTTTATAAATCTTCCCTTTTGATTTTTTTTATATATTTTTTTATTTACAGCTTCTTCTATTGTAATCAATGGGCCAAAAAAAATCGCAGTTAATGGAACATTGTTTGACTTTCTAAATTACGCTCTATTCCAAAAAGGTGGTGGAAAAGAGAAGAAATTTGCGTAGATTTTATTCCATTATATGTAAATATATGTAATATTTGAATTTATTTTTCAATAAAACAAGTTTTATCTCTTTCTTTAATCATACCTAGCTATTTTAACTAAACTAAACTGAAAGAGTTTAAAATAGTCTAAGTATAGACTATGAATAGATTTAATATCCATAATATACCTTGATAATGTACAGCAACACTAATGTACATGCATAGTACGTTCTGATGGTGATCACATTTTAAAGCACATAGCATGTGTTCATACATATATACATTTTGACATACATAGCACGTTTTGATGGTGAAAAAGTGTTTTACAGTCGTTTTAGCTTTGATAAATCAACGTTAAAAAAACCATCATTTTAAACGTTGTATCAACGTAAATTCAACGTTATTGTAACGTTTTTTCGCGGCATTTTAACGTTGATATAACGTTTGAACCTAACTTTGGTTTAATGTTGATAAATCAACGTTGAAAAAAACTTTCATTCTTAACGCTAAACGATAGGTTTCAACGATGTTTCAACGTTATTTCAACGTTGTTTGCCGGCATACGTTATTTGCAAAAACTTTTACAAATTTAAAATTATTTTCAAAACAATCTTGATAAAATCATGATATCTTTATCTTCAACAACAATGTCGAATTCATATGTATTTTTCTCGCCTGCTGTCATCAGACTCATTTTGATTTGATGGACATTTCTCACAATCCAATCAAAAGGGTGCAAAGTTCAAAAAGTTAAAATTCTTTTTCCATTTTGTCTTTTTATTTAAGAACATCAGGTAACTGCATCTAAATAAAAATAACTTTAAATTAAGTATACATTTGGTAAAATGAAGGTACATTTGAAAATTTTAAAAGTATTATAATACTTTACATTGTCCACAAGCGAATGTGAACATTAAGTGATCAATAGTGGGGAAAAAAACAACCCAAAACTGATCCATGCCTAATTTACTTACCAAAAACCAATAATTAAAGAAGAGTAATAAAAGTTAATTTAAAAAGTCATGATTTACATTAATTGTTACTTTCATAATGTTTATATAATGACATGCATTATATAACCAGAATGTTTATGCATTAAATAACAAGACTGTTTACTAAATTTAAACTCTATCAGGCTCCTCTCTCTGGATGAGCATTATATGCACATGACAAAACAAAATAGATATACTTAAAAATGACTTAATGGTATACTTTAGCTCCTATATTATTAAAGCCTACATAAACTAGTCTATTTTTTGTTTTTTTAACTAAAGCCTTAAATTTTTGTTCTGTTCTACTGTGCAAGCCAACTTTATTTTATTTTAATAATGCAACAAAATATAAAAAAAAATTAAGGGTAAAATGAAAATACCAATCTACTTTGGAGTTATGTTAACGCCTGCGATCCAGTTTATATGTTTTTACTTGATGTTGTTATACCAATTCCTAACAAAAAGAATACAATAAATACTTTACATAAGAATAAATGATAAAGATTAAATGGTCTTTGATACTGCTCTTATAAAATATATGTAATAATCATTTATACATAATAGGTTAAAATACCTGTAGTTTCATCACATTTTAGTTTAAACTTATACTAACCAACTGTTTTGCTTTATTGCAATTTTTTACTGCAAGTTTCACATTTCGATTCGGACAACGAACAAAACCATTCTTTATTCAACTTGATGGAATTTCATTTATACAAACAACATTGTCTTTTGACTATACAAACCAAAACGTACTGGTCTACGCTACAGTTTTATAATTATTATATATATATATATATATATATATATATATATTTATATATATATATATATATATATATATATATATATATATATATATATACATATATATATATATATATACATATATATATATATATATATATATATATATATATATATATATATATATATATATATATATATATATATATATATATATATATATATATATATATATATATATATATATATATATATATGTATATATATATATATATATATATATATATATATATATATATATATAAATATATATATGTATATATATATATATATACATATATATAAATATATATATATATATATATATATATATATATATATATATATATATATATATATATATATATATATATATAAACATCTTTAAATCATTTAAATAATCATTTTAAAGATGAATATTTAAATCATTTAAAGATATTTATTTATATATATGCAAAATATACAGTTAAAGTGTTATTATAATAATAAAGACTTAAATTTATCTTCAAATAAAAGTTTAATCTGAATTCATATAAAAATTTATATGACTTTGCAGTATACACAAGTTTTGCATTTTTATAAAAAATTTGCAAAATTTATGAATGTTGCAAATTCAAATTAGTTTTTGTAAAATTATACATATTTTTATAGCAAAAAAATTTTTTAATGTTTTTACTTTTATTACAATAATACTTTTATTAAATGTTTTTAAAGAACTTTCCACGCACTAGTCTATGGGGCCATCCATAAAGTACGTACGCAGTAAAACCACTGATTTAGGACCCCCCCTCCCCCCTTGTACGCACTTGTATGCTTTCAACGACCTCCCCCTCCTTCTGCGTACGTACGCATTTTTTATTACAAGTTCAGGCTCTCCTCCCCTTCCTTCCCCAACGCATTAATTTTTCAAAACATTAAACACAAAAAAACATTTTGTTAATTTCTCTGTGCTTAATTAAAAACCGGAAAGTTATTTGTTAATAACTTTCCAGTTTTTGTTAAAGAAAGAAAAATATTCTAAAAAAGAATTCTTGTTGCGAGTATTTATATTTCATATTTCCTCAAATGGTGACTTAAATAAATCAAATATGTTATCAAATACAGGCATGAACTCTGCTTCCACACTTTTATAATCAATCTCCTCACTGATATCTTCACTTTTATTAATAGATTCACTGTCACTTACACTATCCTCACTCTCCATTTCAACCGTGTTTTTTTTTTGTGTGTGTGCTTTCTTGTGCCGTTTCATTGCAGCTTCGCTTGGCCAGTATTTATTGCACTTGTCGCAAATTCCGTTTGAGAGCTTTTCCTTTAACGATGGGCAATACAGATCAAATGGTATAATTTTGTATTTTAATCCTTCTATAGGTATATCATGTAGCAAAAGTCGATGTGTCAGTGGTGCAAACGTTAATTGTTTTGATACGTTTTTAAAATATCGAGACGGTTCCATTGCTTTGTAACCATTCTCGCAGTATTCGTAGATTGCCGGAAATGGAATGAAACGTTGGGGGAAGTTTTTCAGCCAGTTTGTTTCAAACGGTGTGCAACATGACTCCTCTTGGCATTTTACGATTTGTAGGCTGTATCGCGATTGCTGACAATGTTTTTCTACCCAAACAGGATCTGGAATTGGTGGTTCATATGCTTTCCCAACTGGTACAGCCTGGCAATGAACAGGATACCCGTCAATGACGGTTTTCTCCCAAACTTGGGATAAAACGTCAGCCGCTTTTTGAAAGTTCTCTACCTCCAATTCATAGTCGATTGTTTTTCCAGAAGAATCAAGGTGATTGCCAAAAAAATTATGAGGAAGGACTATTCCAGCCAAATCACGAGAAAGAGGTGCCATTCTTCGTTCTACGGGGTTAAAGGCTAAAAAGGCCAGCTGCATTCACACCATGAAGAAGGGCATTTAAATTAAGCAATCGAAAGAGGTCAACAGCAGTTGCTAAGGTTTTAGGGAAACGTGGTGCTTCATCCTGAGCTCCATCAGACTCCATTAACATAATTGGTCTACGTTTAACCAACTCGGTTTTAAAAATCTCTCTAACATCAAAAGCATGTGTAAAAGCATTTGATGTATCGTGTTTCGCACTTCTTATGCGTATGAAAGTGTCCCCACTGTATGATACATTTCCAGTATTGTTAACTTCGCATACGCTATACACTGATGGGATCAATTTGTGCTGTGAGCTAACGACAAAATCGTGATCCATGAGTTTGACCTTGTATTCCATATGCATCAGCAACGGCGCTTGAAGGCTTGCTGCAGCAATACCCAACGGGACCCTGGCTTTATCATCGTTGGAAATGAAAAGCACAGCTTTTGGTCCAAACTTCGAGCATGTCGTCAATGAATGATTTGGCAAACATTCTATCGTCATTTTTTTTTCGCATTGAGTTTTCTGGACGTAACAGCTTTACTGGAACTGTGCTGACATGTTTTTTTCCTTCAGAAGTGTTTCCACGTCGTGGTAAAAGACGAAGGTACAAACCACTCCTACTCAAGGTAAAGCCTATCTTTGTCAACTCTTCCTGAAGGTCATCTAAAGTGGAGACGCTACGGAGACATTCTGTTCTTCGACGTTCGTCAGCTGCTGATAAATTTTGCACAATTTTTATAATTGTTGATAAAAGCTCTGGTTGGTCAACTTCGAGACGCGGTCGTCCAGTATGGTTTCGACTAAACTGTTTCAAAGCACTTGATGCTTCAGGGATGTTCTGACACACAGTTTCGATGCTCTCTTTAAGTTTTTGTCTTCGTTTTCTTTGACGAGCTGATTCACGAATCAATCTGAAAACGAAATATCAGTAAAGCTTTGATTCCGTTATAAAAACTTCTATACTTAAGGTTTCGCAACTTTTGGCTAATGTTGCAAAAGAAAAAGTACGCAAATTCTTATTTCAAATAAGAAAGTATTATTTACAATAAGATTATGAAAGTTTCTGTCTTTGAAAATGTTTGGTTTTTATAGCCAAGACGCTTTTCTATACGCATAAATAAACTCTGTATTATTTAACATATATCTCTTGATATTTACTAGAAACCTGACAGTTAAGCATTCTAAAATGAAATATCAAATAAAGAAATACATAACTAAATTATCTTACCTGTCCAATTTTGTTTTTTCTTTTCTTATGGTTTCTTTCACAGTGTTTATTTGTTCCTTTGTTACGGTAGATAAACCAGAATCACGTACGACTATCAAGGATGCATGTTGTGATTCAAGATCTGAGATTTTCTTTCGACTCCTAACTTGTGCCGGATTTTCTCTTTCTTTTTTGTTGTCTGTTAAATCTAAATTAAAAAATGCCAAAAAATAAGCTATTATAAATTCTTGACAATTACTACTAATCAATTTATTTTGGATGTAGAAAAATAGGTCTAGTGGTCAACATTATAAATTTCTGTGACTGCTCTAAGGTCGTACGATGTAGTTTGATTTACAATACGGTTAAACTCAGTAGGCCGGGTGAATAAAAAAGAGCAATTGCTTTTACTCAGTAATTGTTCAGTTTTACGTGAATAAAAAATTGAGCAATTATCCTCAAATTTCTATTTACGTAAAGTTGAGCGTTGTTGGAGTAAATTGTTCAGCTTTACGTGAATAAAAATTGGTCAAGCTGAACAGTTACTGAGAAAAAGCAATTGCTCTTTTTTATTCACCCGGCCTAATGTATAGAAAATCACAAGAGAGAAAAAGTTTTTAAAATATTACAGAAATTAGCTTACTAATTTCAATTCTTGCAGGCTCTGTCGTAGTTGCATTTAGGAAACTTCGTGTTTCATTTGACGAAGACGGCGCTGGATGGATATCTTTTTTCTTTTTGCTAGGTGGTGAAATGGTGTTTCCCCAGAATGACATAAGTGATACTTTTGACTTTGTTACTTTCTCTTTTAACTCATTTATTTTTTTTTCATACAAGGATTCATTGTTTTTTACTATTTTCCACAACTCTTGTGCTTGCTGATACTGCTTTTGTTTTTCAAGTGTTGAATATGCTTTTTTATATAACTCAAGGAATTGAAGGTATTTTTTCTCGTTCCCGCGCGGCATCTTGGTCATAATAAATAATAAGTTTTTTTTCCAATGAGGCGTATTGAGTTTTCGAATAGAATCATAAAAGTTTTTTTTGTTTTAGTTTACTCAAGATAATTGCCGTTACATTGCATCATAAAAAGTGTTGGTTTCCATCAGCATTTAAAGTAACTATTTTTTACAATTATCACAATGATTGTCAAATGCATTGTCACATGTATGTTCATTTCGTTTCGCCTGTCCTTAGCAATCTTAATGTATGTTAATATTAACTTTAATGATAAAAAAAATAATAATATTACCTTTTTTTATTTTATTGTTTTTTAAAAACAAAATATTAACCTTTTAAGAGAAATGGGAAAAACCAGGTTCGTAATTAAAAAAAGAATTAAGAAGAAGTTTTCTTTGATTACAGTTTTGTTACTTTTCATCTTGCTACAGTCGAATTATGTTGCAAAAAATGGAAAACATTATTTGGAGATATTATAGCTCGATTTTTTCTCTCCTCGTTACTTATAAAGAAAAATAAAAAACAATTGTAATTGAAGTCAGAAAAAAAAATAACATATATTATATTATGATTTTTTAACGTGAAATTCAATGTTTTTAAAAAAAAAACATTAAAACACGTGAAATTCAATGTTTTTATAAAGAAGTTTAGGAGAGATAGTTAAACCGCCTACGTACTCGCTGTCGTTAACACCCTCCCCCCCTGTACGCATTCATACGTTTCAGGATAACCTCCCCCCTCCCCCCATACATGCGTACGTACTTTATGGATGGCCCCTATGTGAAATATTAAATTTTATTTTAATTCTGAATTATTAGTACATTAGCGTCGGCGAACTCTCATTTCTAAATTTTAACGTAATTTCAAAGTTATTTCAACGTTTATTTTTCAACGTTAATTCAACGTTTGTTTTTAGTTGAAAATCAATGTTGAAATTTCAACGTTTTATTTTTTTTAACGTTGAACTAACGTTGAAATAACATTGAAATTTATATCGTTATTTTTTAACCATATATCAACCACTTCTCAACGTTAAAAAAACATTGAAATAACGTTATGTGCTTGCTGGGATGAGAGATTTGATAAAATAGATTGAGTTGTTATAAGGATCTCATGAAAGGCTGAATTAATTCTTATGATCAAGAACCTTGAAATAAGTCTTATGTTTGAGAACCAATAATATAATAATAATCAATAAAAACACGATAATCTATTTTTGTTTGTACTTCCTTAAGCTATGTTTTACTTTTTAGTTCCTAAGTTACACTTAGTAACTAAAAAGTAAAGAAGGTAAAAGTTTTTTACGATAGTTTTGTTATTATTATTGGACCAATATAAAATGTGTAGATTTAGCAATATTTGCCCAATTTTTGGTTTATATATTAGACCAATATTGATGACAATATTGGCGTAATATTTGTTTACAATATTGGTCCATTATTGTTTGCAGTATTGGTATAATATTGACACCAATATTAGATCAATATAAAATGCGTAGATATATCAACATTCGCCTTATACGGGTTTTATATATTAACGTTGTTTTTTTAACGTTATTTCAACGTTAGATCAACGTTACGGTTCAAGTTTCTTTTCTTCACTACTAGAAGATGATTCTGCCAGACCTATAACATTAGAGTGGCATTTTCGCCAGTTTCTTAAATAAATTTTTGTTTTCTTCTACTTTTTGATGTTTTGTCAAAACATCAATCAAGTAGAAAAAAAAAACTTGGATAGCGATTATGAAAGTGAAGAATATCTTTGTGATTATTTGTCTCAAAGTAATGACCATGATTCTGTGTTTTTCTCAGAAGAAATTTAAAAAAATATTTCACTTAATTATACACTGGTGAAATGGGCAGTAGAGTACTGCTGTTTACGTGGATGTGTAAAAGAGTTTGAGCTTGGAGTCTGAAGCAAAGTTCTTTTAAAAGAACTTTTAAAAGAACTTTGCTTCTTTTAAAATCTTTTAAAAGAACTTTGTTTCAGACTCCAAAATCAGTTATTGTCGAAAGCAAGTGTGGTGGTCAATACTATTAGTATTGACCACCAAGGTATTAGTAATAATTTAGACCCAAATAAAGGTAAAAATCCATCAATATTTATAATCAATAGGTATTGTTTCATTTATAAAAACTGAATAATCTTTATTTGATGCAGAAACAGCTTTTAGTATACTAGTTTCAAGACCAAAGTAATAATATTACTAAAAGACATTAAATATAAAAAAAGGTTAAATGTTTCTTTTAAAGCAAATATTCTTTTGTAATCAGAGAACATTCAGATTGAGTGATATCTTGTAATATATTTTGCTATTGCATTTCTGATGATTATTATTTATTTATGTTGAAGTATTTTGTCTATAATATAATGTTTTCAGTTTTTATACTAAGGTTTCCTTATTTTATAATTAGTTAAAATTATTATAAGATATTAGTAAAACTATATACGTTGAAAAGAGCTGTTTGGAAAGAAGATTTACAAAAAAAGGAAGGTGTAATCCCTTTTAATTGTATATATGGCAAAACTGTTTACTGGCCACCAGGTAACAAACCTTTGAATACAATGAAGTTTTGTCAAAATCCTGGGAAAATTTGGCTGAAGTTTCCGCTAATAAAACTTTTTTTTTTTTTTTTTTTTTTTTAACATCTTCACTTCCAACAAGGCTGCAAGCAACCACTATAAGAGTTGGAAGTTACTGGAAGAGAAAAGACTAAATCTGTAGAGCAAGATAACGATTGACTGATGACTTAAAAGATTGCAAATTATATGAATCAGGAAAGCAAGATGAAGGAAGCGAATTCCAAAGAACTGATGTTCGAGGAAAAAAACTAGAAGAATAAGAGTTTTTGAAGCACTTAGGAACAGTCACAGAAAAAGGATGAGACATTGAATGGCGAGTAACACGAGAATGAATTTTAGTAGATGGCACAAGGGACGCTAGCTCTTTAGAGCAGTGCCCAATATAGTATTTGTAGAAAAGAGAAAGAGAAGCAACATTACGACGATGTGACAAAGATTGGAGATTGGCTGCCAGAGCAGGTCCAACTATGTTTACAATTCGTTTTTGCACCTTGTCTAAAAGAGAAAGAGCATGATTAGAAGATCTGCCCCAGATGTGGCAACAGTATTGCATACAGGGACGGATTTGAGATTTATAGAGATATAGAATAGAATCTGGAGTAAGAAAGTGTCGAGCTCGATAAAGAGATGCAACCTTAGCAGATGCTAATTTTGCAATGGATTTGATATACGGTTTAAAAGAAAGATCAGAAGTAAGAGTTAATCCTAGAAGATGAATGGTAGATGACTCATCTAGTACATTACCATTCATAAATATAGGAAGATCTAAATTATTACGATAACGATTGGCCGAATAAAATTGAGTTTTATCTGAATTAAAGTTCACCAGCCACTGTGAGCCCCATGCTGTAGCAGAAGTGAGATCCTTTTCAAGTTCAGATACCCCCTCCAAGCAATCAGAGAGTGTAGGCTTCTTATCATAAAAAGAGTAAATGGTAGTGTCGTCAGCGAATAATGCCACCTTAGATGTGAGAATATCTGGAAGATCGTTAATGTAAATTAAAAAGAGTATAGGGCCAAGGATTGAACCTTGAGGAACCCCTGAAGTTACAGGATGTGAAGAAGAGTGTTGTCCATCGAGGACAACTTTTATACTACGATTGTAAAGAAAGGACTCAATAATCTTAAAGACGTTACCAGCTACACCATAAGAAGAAAGCTTATGGAGAAGACCAGCATGCCAAACTTTATCAAAAGCTTTAGAAATGTCAAGTGCGATAGCCTTAACCTCTCCACCTCTATCTAATGCACGGTAAAACCTATCGGTTATTACTGTTAGCACTTCAGCTGTAGAACGAGAAGACCGAAATCCATATTGATGATCAGAAAGTAAGTTATTTGATTCAAGATGAGAGATTAAGTGTTTGTTGATTAAAGATTCAAAAACCTTGCTTATGACAGGAAGAAGACTAATGGGACGGTAGTTAGATGAATCAGATCGCTCTCCGGAATTTTTGAAAATAGGGATAACAGATGCTGCTTTCCAGCATGATGGAAAACAAGACTCTGATAAGCACTTGTTAAATAGTTTAGAAAGTATGGATGAAAGCTCCGGAGAACACCTCGGCAAAACTACAACAGGAATGTTGTCAGGACCACAAGCTGTTGAAGAGTCTAAGCAGGAAATTACTTTAGATACAGAAGCTGAAGTGATGCGAATGTCAAGCAAGGGATCAACCTGTTTGACGGCTATGTCAGGTAAAACGCAACTAGTGGAATCAAGAGATGATATTGATGAAAAGTTCTTAGCAAACAATTCAGCTTTGTCTTTAGGTGAGGTGACAAAGTCTGAACCATACAAGAGAGAAGGAATAACAGATTTGCCCTTATTATTGATACTGTTAAAGATTCTCCAGAAGTCTCGAGAGCCTAATTTTTGTGATGAGATGCGAGATTTAATGACCTGGGAATAGCGAGCTTTGGCGTCAGACAAAACCTTTTAACAATAGTTTCTGGCGATAGTGAACAGATGTCTGTTTTTTGGAGAATTGTTTTGCTGATAGATATGGAAGTAACGGTTTCGATTAGAAATTGCTGCAACGCAATGTGAGGAAAACCAAGGAGAAGAGTGAGGCTTGACCTGGAATCGTCGAGAGGGAATAAAAGATTCCATGCCAGCCTGAATCCACGAAGTTATGTAAGAAGCACATTTGTCAGCAGGAAGACGAAAGATTTCTACCCAAGGGCCATCACGAAGAAAATCACGGAAAGAGTCCCAGTCAGCTTTAAGGTAGTTGTATGTGGTACGATGATAGGGGGATTCTGATGAAGTAGAAGAATTTGATAATAGTTTTAGAGAGATCAAACCGTGATCAGAAGTACCTAAGGGTGAATGTGGAGAAATTGAGCACTGACTAGGATCCAAAACAAGACATAAGTCGAGTAGAGAAGGTAAATGATTAGGGTTGTCTGGAAAACGAGTTGGAAAGTTGACTATTTGAGTTAGAGATTGAGAAAGGCAAAAGTTGAGGGCCTTAACGCCAGCAGAGTCACTGACACTAGAGCCAAGCCAATCGGTGTGATGGGCATTAAATTCACCAACAACGACAATATTGGCCGATGGATAAAGAGAGAGGACTTGGTCAATTTGATCAGAAATAACATCAAGAATAGTGCAATCTTGGGATGAAGGAGAGCGATATAGAACAAAGAGAAAGGCGATAGAGTGAAGTTGTGCTAAACGAAAGCACATAAATGAATAGTCTGTAGATTCAAACCTAGTTTCACGACAAATGGGTGAGTTCTTACGAATGTAGATGCCCAGACCAAGCATGTGATTATTGGAGTCTTTACGAATTAAAGGAAGATAACCATCAACACTAAGATCACAAGATGGGACAGCCGAACTCAAATTTGTCTCACATAGAGCAAGTAGGTCTGGTGAACTTTGCAAGAGATAAGACTCAACAGAAGAAAAGTTACTTTGAAGACCACGAATATTAGTAAATGATAGGTTTAGAGAACTTGGTGATGACGATGGTTTTTTGTGTTTTTTAGTTTTAGGTACTTTAGTCATTTTAAATTTATAAAGAACTTGACTCAAGTATAGATATTACTCAGTACACTATTTAACAACTAAGCAATAGCCTCATTACTATTAATAAAACCTAAGCCGTAACAAAGGGCTCCAAATGTGGCCTCTGCAATGCACACCAAAAGTACAAACAGGGACACCATCCATGCGCAACATGGCACTGTTAGTACTCTGATATTTTTCGGCTGTTGATGGAATCAGCCTCTCTGAGAGCTACCACAGAGTTCGGGAAACCTGACTACCAGCCGGCCTTAGAACCATAAAACTGAGTTTTAGAGCTGTACCCTCATTAAGAGATAATAGAATGAGTTGCCCAGTCATGAAAATAGAGACACAAGCAATACCCACGCATTGAGTCAAGAAGATCCAGCGTTCAACATCCTAAACTGGAAACAATGTATTAAGAATACATCTGCGCCAGCCTAATAGATGAGGAAGGGGTGCGAGGCTGGTCAACAGATAAAATCTGTTTACCCCTTAAGTCTTTGCCTAGGAGGCCTTCTACAAGACAGCAGCTGGATGCATGTAACATCTGCCCAAGATGAGTATTTTTATCGAGACACCATCTCTAGCCTTTACTCAACCAAGAGCCCCAAGGCAGGGGGTGTTTTAATTCGGAGTTAACTTCTCCTAGCCTTTGCCTAAAAAAGCGTATCCTACAAGGCAGCAGGACATGGAGCAGGTTGTACTGGGTTACATGTTACCAGTAGCAGGAAAACCTGACCTGACCTTAAACTTAAGTTCTCTGCAGGTATAACATCTATTTTTTAATTATTTTTTTAAATCTTAATATTAAGCTAAAAAGAAGATTTTTTTTATAACTATTTCAATTCTATAGAAAACAAATAATAATGTGAAAATTTTAAATTTACAACGACTGAGGAAAAAAGAAAAAAATGAGGATGTTGATTTTCTCAAAAAAAAAAACATAAAAAAAGAGAGTATCCAGATTATTTTCCAAGCAATTATTTAATATGCTTGAATTATGATTTAGTAAAAGTTAGATTTTTTGTTTAAAAATAAGTGAGTTATTATAATTTTTACTACAACATAGTAATGATATTTTACAGGTTCGAATATCAAAGATTTAGATCAAGTATCAATGCACTTTATGTCTAGCAGTTCATTAATCTTATCTAGAGGTACCATCAATGTTATCTAGAGGTATCAAAAAAATAAAGGACATAAAGGAGTTATCATAATTAGGAGAAACAAGGTCAAAACTCTTAGTGGTCGGATTTAGTTTAGCAAAAAAAAAATGACATAAAAGAGTTATCATAAAACAGAAACAAGGTCAGTAGTTTTTTGACGACTTTAGAGTCTTTTAGGTCAAAAAGGTTGGTATTGCCGAATGTCGACCCTTATCCCGAGGGTTTTACATATAAATATATACATATATATATATATATATATATATATATATATATATATATATATATATATATATATATATATATATATATATATATATATATATATATATATATATATATATATATATGTATATATATATATATATATATATCTTAATAATTATTTAGTTTTCACTATATATATATATATACATGTATATATATATATACAGGGTGTTCGGGATAAATTTGACAGTTTCGAAAGAAAAAGGAAAATCTTCTTTGTATCCATTAAATTTAATGAGTTGACAAAAAAAATTACAGGCATAGTAAATTACAATACTATGAACAAAATTCACTCAAAATAACCACCATTAGCATCGATCACTGCTTCATTCCTGCTTCGGAATTTTGAACAAGCTAATGCTACAGTCTCCCTGGGAAGGGCCTCAAAAACTGTTTTAATTTTATCCACTAACTGGGCTTTTGTATTACTGGAAGTGCAATTAGTGTCTTTTTCAACTGCGCCCCATACAAAATAATCTATGGGGTTAAGGTCTGGCGAGTTTGGAGGCCAAACATTTGGACTGGTGAAGTCGTAGAAATTTTCAGACAACCATTTTTGACTTTTCACAGAGGTATGGCAAGGGGCCGAATCCTGCTGCCATACATACGGCCTACAATTGGCTACCCTTGTTATCCAGGGCTTGACTACAGTGTTCAGCAACTCCACGTAGCCATCTGAAGTCAACCTGAGGCCCTCTTGGAAAAAATGCGGAGCCATCACATCGCACATCCCAAAACAATCACAGTTTGGGGAAATTTAGTCTGCATTACACGAGGAATGTCCTTTGTACTGCATGCAAGCCACCTGTTATTCTGCGTGTTGTGTTTTTGATCCTGGCAAAAGTTTTTCTCATCGGAAAAAAACCAGATTGTTTGTGGTTCTAGAGGATGTTTCACTTTGTTTAGAAGTTTCTTCGCTTTTATCAAACGTTTTTTACGGGCCTTTTCTGTGAGTAGCTGACCTTTGTGGCGCTTGTATGAGTAGTAGCGAAGGTCTTCATTGAGTGCAAGCTTCATAGTAGAGGATGCTACATTCATTTCATTTGACAAAGCCCGAATTTTAATGCCAGGGTTCTTCAACACCTGTTCCTGCAGACTTGCGAGGAATTCTGCTGTACGAACGCAATCAGATCGTCTGCTAGGGATCTTTCTTCTTACTACATCCTCGTAGTCACCATTGCAAGTCTCTAGTTCATACCTGATTGTTTTTACTGTGTTCAGGGAGCATTGGGCAGCAGTCATAATATCCTTATTTTGGTGGCCGGCACGAATCATCATGATGCAAGTTATTCTCTTCCATGATTCAGGTGGGTTCCAGTCATCCATCCTTTCTGACATCTTGTATATGAATGAAGAAGGGTTCAAACTTTTAAATGACCTGTAGTGTGTGTTAATACCTCTAATCTACAAAAAAATATAATCAATTATAAATATGTCAAATTTATCCCGAACACCCTGTATATATATATATATCCTGTATATATATATATATATATATATATATATATATATATGTATATATATATATATATATATATATATATATATATATGTATATATATATATATAAATATATATATATATATGTATATATATATATATATATATATATATATATATATATATATATATATATATATATATATATATATACATATATATATATATATATATATATATATATATATATATACATATTTATATATATATATATATATATATATATATATATATATACATATATATATATATATATATATATATATATATATATATATATATATATATATATATATATATATATATATATATATATATATATATATATATATATGTATATATAAATATATATGTATATATATATATATATATATATATGTATATATATATATATATATATATATATATATATATATATATATATATATATATATATTTATATATATATATATATATATATGTATATATATATATATATATATATATATATATATATATATATATATATATATATATATATATATATATATATATATATATATATATATATATATATAGATTTTTGTTAAAAAAAATATAAAGCTAAAATGTCAGTTACTCTTGTAGAAGTTAAAAAAATGCTGAAGGAAATGCTTTTGGAATATAGAAAAGAAATGGAAACAATGCTTAAGCAACAACAACAAATATTTATAGAAATCTTATGCGCAAATACAAAAATAATTAATGAGAGACTTGACAAAGTTTAAGAAAAATCTATAGAAAGTGCAAACAAAATAAAGATAATAGTAAAAGATATCGAAGACATAAAATTAAGCTTAAATTTTCATGATGAAGTTTTTGACAAAAAAATTGCAACTATCCATAAACAAAACAATGATCGAGTGGAAAAGGAAAACATTACAACGCAAAATATAAATGAAAAGCTAAGAAAGTTTGAAGATAGATCGAGAAGAAATAATTTAAGAATAGACGGGTTACCAGAAAGTGTGAAAGAAACATGGAATGAAACTGAGGATAAAGTTAAACTATTTTTAGTCAATAGGTTGGGACTAAATGGAATAGAAGTTGAACGAGCTCATCGAACCGGAGCCAGAAAAGAAGGAAGCTCCAGAACAGTTATAATGAAGTTGTTAAGATACAATGACAAAACAAAAATTCTAAAAGAGTCATAAAGACTGAAAGGTACAAACATTTACTTAAACAAAGATTTTTCCCATGAGACTGTCAATATTAGGAAAAGACTCCTGGCTGAAGTAAAAGAACGACGCGATAATGGTGAAAATGTTGGTTTAAGGTACGATAAAATTATTAAATTAAATAATATCAAAAAAAAAAAAACTTTTTTTTCTTAAATTTATATTTTACACGTGTATGAATATATTTGTATATCTTATATTTAATTTTTTAAGCAGTTAAATTTTTAATTATGACAATGACGGAAACAAAATATTTTGAAATTTTTGATAAAGAAAACACTCTTCTTCTGAACAATAACAACGACCCTGACAAAAATTTTTTTGAAAACGACTTATTTAAGTCTAATTACTATAATAATGAAGAATTATCTTGTTTTATAAATGCGTCACAAAATACTTTTTCAGCGCTGACATTAAACATACGCAGCATGAGCAAAAACTTTGAAAACTTTAAAGAAATGCTAAAAGACATAAGTCACGAATTTACGGTAATATGCCTTTTAGAAACATGGTGCAAAGACGAAAATACCATAAATTCAAATTTTCAATTAAAAGGCTATATTAGCATCAATGCCACATATATATTATTGATAACTTTAATAATATATCTTATAATAGCTATATATTAAAAGTTATCTTATAATAGCTATATATATTAAAAGTTAAAATTGAAAAAGTTAAAATCAAAGTTTTAATTTTTACAATTTTAAAGACTTTTTCATGTATTATGGTCAAAAGGTCAGAGTGTTAATTAACATTTTATTGTATAATAATCAACATATCAAAGCTTATACCACAGGCTTGTTATCGAATACTGACCACGGAAATTATATTTAGTTGCGAAAAACTGGCCAGGTTATTTAGTCATTTTGAGAACATTTAAGTTTATGAGCGTAACAAAAAATTTTTGTTGGATTTCAATGTTGGTGTCACCAACTTTGAAATCAACTGTTAAAAAAAAACAACAGAGTATTCATATCAGTTTAAAGTTTTAATAGTTGCTGGTAGTTCATTATTATTCATTATATAAACGTTTGTTTAAATTTATCTAATAAGCGAAGGTAATACAATATTTTTATAGATAATATTATTTTTATAAATTGTATTATTAAAATTCAGAATTAAAATATGTAAAAAAAATTATTTACAAACATTGGACAAGGTCTGTACTGTACCTTGAAAATCTGAAAAGTTTGTATTTATAATATTGGCTAAAGTTTTGGAAAACCTGGAAAAGTCAGGGAATGATTTCATTAGATAGTCATGAAAAAATCAGTAATTCTAGTTAAGAAGCTACTCATTTCACAATTGAATGCTGAATTTTGAAAGCGTGATAAGTCACACTTTTTTAAAAGTGAGGTTATTTGAAAAGAATATTTTTTTTAGGAAAAGATAAAATTATAAGATAAAATAAAGATATTTTTAGAAAAAATAAAGATTTTTTTTAGATGAAAGAAACAATTTTCAGATAAACTAAAAATAACATTTTTTGCAAGAGAAATGTTTTTCATTCTCTTGTAAAACTTTAATTTTGTGACATGTCACATTTTTAAAATACTCAATTAAGCTATGTTTTTTTTGGTGCAATCCGTTTATATTCTCTGACACCTTCATTTTTTTCTTAGTGTTCATTTTTAGTCATCCTTAATAATAAGATCCATACTAATATGTATAGTAAGCTTTATACTAATATCCAACTTAACTAATAGCTAAGTTTTATGAGTTTTGTCATTCAAAGCATGCTCAATCAGTAGATAGTAATTTTAAACATTTTGTAAAAACCATTGTTAAAAATGGTCAGGGAAATTCATCATTGTTTTAATATGAATTTTTTTGTTTTACAGTGCAATCTGTATCTTAAACATTAACGAGAATTGTTTTGTGTCAGTGCCAGAAATTAAATACACACCTGCAAATTTCGTAATTCGTTAAATATTATAAATCCATTAGCAAGTATATATTTTTATCATTAAAAATTTGCCCCTATGTCTTTAATTTTATCTGTTTTATTATTGATTGTTGTATTTACTTTCATAAATTTTAAATATAATATGTAATTAGTTGTACAGTTTCATAATAATATAATTAACTTTATTGTTTCAAGATAAAGTTGTATCCTTGAAAGATATGCTGGTATTATTGGCACAATGGGCAAGCATTAAAGTGCAACTTGGTGAACTACAAAACACATCAAATTCAGTTATAAAAATTTGAGTAACAAAGATATGCTAATTATTGTATTGCCTGAAAGAGTGTCATTGCCATTAAAAGCAGTAAAGAATTCAAGTACTCTCGAAAAAAAAGACAAGAAAATACTTAAGAAAATGGTAAATTTTTTTTTATGATCCGTTTATGCATTTTGTATGATATCTCAGTACAATTTATATACTTTAAATAAAATAATTTTTGAAGATTTTTTGTAAATGACATTTTATATTAATTTAAGTCTAAAGAAAAGTGACTTTAATTATTTTCAGGTTGTGTATTTTTGCAGGTCAATTATTTGTCACAATTTCTCACAAGTTGAGAAAAGTTTATTTTTTCAGTTTCATTTTTGCATTACAGAATAACTTTCAACTTGTTATGTTTCTTTGGTGCATAATTAGACAAACAACAATTTTTTTTGCAGAAACTGTGAAGTCAAATAAGCATGGCTTATGCAGACATGTGATAGAGATAGCGGAAGAAAAAATAATAATCGTGGGCACCAAATATCATAAGCTAAACACGATTCAATAACAAGTAGCTCAGCCAATATCGAAACTACTTTATAAATTTTATAGTGAATTTTTTTATTTAAAACTCAATGTGTCTGTTTTGGGTTTAAGTTTGGTGTTTGCAATATGTATATATAACTGAGAAATTATGTTAAATAAATAAATGTTTATACTTGTATCATACATTCTTTTTTTTTTGTCTATAAATTTTCAATGTAACGATGCAAATCATTTTATTTGTAACAACGATCTAATGTTACATAAAACGTTTACAACATTGGGCCAATGTTGTACACAACGTTGGGCCAATACCTAACCAATGATCAAACCTGCATTGAGCCAACATTGACTTTCAACATGGGCCAATACATTATCATGTATTGGCCCAACGTTGGCCCATATTTATATGTGTAGATGTATATATATATATATATATATATATATATATATATATATATATTAATATATATATATATATATATATATATATATATATATATATATATATATATATATATATCCCAGACAGCACGCTTACATTGGCGCAATGTTGGGCCAATGCATGGTGATGCATTGGCCCAACGTTGAAAGTCGATGTTGGCCCAATGCAGATTTGATCATTGGTTAGGTATTATCCGGATGCTGAATACAACGTTTACCCAAACATTGGCACAACGTTGTATATAACGTTAGGCCAATGTTGTATACAACATTGGTCCAACGTTTTATAGAACATTGGCCCAACGTTGTATAGAAAATTGGCCCAATATCGTATGTTATACGATTATTATTTTTATATTGGCCTAACGTTTTATGCAACATTAGATTGTTGTTACAAATAAAATGATTTGCATCGCTTCATTGAAAAATTATAGAGAAAAAAAAGAATGTATTATACAAGTATAAATATTTATTTATTAAACATAATTTCTCGGTTAAATATAAATATTGCAAACACAAAACTTATACCAAAAACTGACACACTGAGTTTTAAATAAAAAAATTCACTATAAAATTTATAGAGTAGTTTCGATATTGACTGAGCTACTTGTTATTGAATCGTGTTTAGCTTATGATATTTGGTGCTCACGATATTATTTTTTTTCCGCTATCTCTATCACATGTCTGCATAAGCCATGCTTTATTGACTTCAAAGTTTCTGCAAAAAAAAATAGTTGTTTGTTTAATTATGCACCAAAGAAACATAACAAATAGAAAGTAATTCTGTAATACAAAATTGAAAGTGAAAAAGTAAACTTTTCTAAACCACTTACCAATAGCAGCATATGCAATCAACATTTTTCCTATTCCAATTTTTTATCCTCTCCCTGCATAATTTAATTTTACAGCTAGGCCATTTTAATAAACTATTCTTAGTAAATAACACATACAATCTCCTTCGTCTTTAACTCCAATTTGTGCCAAATAATTAACTTGCAAAAATACACAGCCTGGCAGTAATTAAAGTAACTTTAGTTTAGACTTAAATTAATATAAAATGTCATTTACAAAAAATCCTCAAAAAGTTTTTTATTTAAAGTATATAAATTGTACTACATATCATACTAAATGCATAAACAGATCATAAAAAAATATTTACTATTTACTGAAGTGTTTTCTTGTCTTTTTTCTTCCAGAGTACTTGAATTCTTCACTGCTTTTAATGGCAATGACACTCTTTCAGGCAATACAATAATTAGCATACCTTTGATACTCAAATTTTTATAACTAAATTTGATGTATTTTGCAGTTCACCAAGTTGCACTTCAATGCTTGCCCATTGTGCCAATAATAACAGCATATCTTTCAAGGATACAACTTTATCTTGAAACAATAAAGTTAATTATATTATTAAGAAAATATACAACTAAGTATATACTATATTTAAAATTTTTAAAAGTAAATACAACAATCAATAATAAAACAGATAAAATTAAAGACAGAGGGCCAAACTTTTAATGAACAAAATATATACTTGCTTATGGATTCATAATATTTTTATGAATTATAAAATTTGCAGGTGTGCATTCAATTTCTGGGACTAACACAAAACAATTCTTATTAATGTTTGAGATACACATTGCAATGTAAAACAAAAAAACTCATATTAAAACAATGTTTCTTCAACAGGGTTCGTAGCCAACTATTTATATAAAATTTTTGAAAAATCAGATGAATTTCCCTTAGGATTTTTAACAATGGTTTTTACAAATTGTTTAAAATTACTATCTACTGTAATGGAAATGCTAAGAATATACATGCTTTGAATGACAAAACTTATAAAACTTAGCTATTACTTAAGTTAGCTATTAGTATAGATCTTATTATACATGTTAGTATGGTTCTTATTATTTAGGATGATTAAGAATGAACACTAAGAAAAACACGTTTCAGAAAAACTAAATTAGTAGCACCAAAAAAAAAAAACATAATAGCTTAATTGAGCGCTGTATTTGTCTATTAGCTTAATTGAGCACTGTATATATCTATAAATCTCAAATCCAGCCTTGTATGGAATACTGTTGCCATATCTGGGGCGGATCTTCTAATGATGCCCTTCCTCTTTTAAACAAGGTGCAAAAACCCATTGTAAACATAGTTGGACCTGCTCTTGCAGCCAACCTTCAACCTGTCACATCATCGTAATGTTGCTTCTCTTTCTCTTTTCTACAGATACTATAATGGCCACTGCTCTAAAGAGCTAGCGTCTCTTGTGCCATCTACTAAAATTCATTCTCGTGTTATTTGTCATTCAATTAAGTCTCATCCTTTTTCTGTTACTGTTTCTAAGTGCTCCAAAAACTCTGATTCGTCTAGTTTTTTTCCTTGAACACCAGATCTTTGGAATTCGCTTACTTCAACTTGCTTTCCTGATTCATATATTTTGCAATCTTTTAAGTCGTCTGTCAATCGTTATCTTGCTCTACAGTCTTCATCTTTTCTCTTCCAGTAACTTCCAACACTAATTAGTGGTTGCTTGCAGACTTGTTGGAAGCAAAGATGTTTAAAAAAAAAAAAAAAAAAATTTTAAAAATGAGACGCCACAAAATTAAAATTTTACAGGAGAGTAAGAAACATTTTTCCTAAAAAAAATTTTATTTTTATTTTATCAAAAAATTGTTTCTTTTATCTAAAAAATCTTTTTTTTATCTTATAATTTTATCTTTTACTAAAAAAAATATTCTTTTCAAATAACCTCAATTTTAAAAAAATGTGACTCTTCACGTTTTCAAAATACAGCGTTCAATTGCAAAATGAGTAACTTCTTGACTAGAATTACTGACTTTTCCATGACTATCTAAAAAAAAAAAGTAATTCCTTGGCTTTTCTAGGTTTTCCACCACTTTGGCCAATATTAACATATTTTCCAGATTTTCCAGGTACAGTACAGACCTTGTCCAATGTTTGAATATAACTTTTTTTTTACATATTTTAGTTCTGAATTTTAATAATACAATTTAAAAAATAATATCATCTATAAAAATATCGTATTACTTTTGTCTATTAGATAAATTTAAATAAACGTATATATAATAAATAATAATAAACCACCAGCAACTGTTAAAACTTTAAACTGATATAAATACTCTGTTATTTTTTTCGGCAGTTGATTTGAAATAGATTTTAAAGTTAGTGGCACCAACTTTGAAATTCAACAAAAAAATTTTGTTACGTTCATAAACTTAAAACAACTAAAAAACCTGGCAAGTTTTTCGTAACTAAATATAATTTCGGCGGTCAGTATTTGAGAGCGATCGCTCCTGCTTTCTGACCAAGCCTGTGGTGTAAACTTTGATATGTTGATTATTACACAATAAAATGTTAATCAACACTCTGACTTTTTGACTGTAATATATGAAAAAGTCTTTAAAATTGTAAAAGTTAAAGCTATGAATAAAGATTTTCAATCATCAGACATAAAGAATTTTATATAAAAACTTACCATTTAATAAATTTTGTTCATTTAACTTCTCAGAGCAAACATTGAACTTCTGTAAAAAGTTTGTAGTTACAGGTAAATCCTGAAGTTTAATAATATTTTTAGTTTTATTATAAGAAATTGAGGATAAATCATCTACACCAAGATATACACAATTTTTTGTCTCTTTAATCTTTATTTTGGCTGGTTATTTTCGCTATCTTTCTTTTTTGTCTCCAGAGCAGAAGTTTAGCCTTCTGCTAAATTCAATCTTGTATTGCTATAAAAATCTTTAAATCAAAATATTAATAATTAAGTTATAACGAAAGTTAATGTATAAGCTTAAAGTTGTTAACTGCATTACGCAAACTAATTATGAAAAATATCCAGAGATATTAAATTAAAAATTATAAAACCAAGAATAATGTCCCTCTGCCTCAGAAAGATGAAATATATAAAGGGTTGTTTCAATTTAAATCATGATTTAAATACTATAATCAGACACATAAAAATAATGATTTAAATTGAGTCTTTTTATTTCAATTGATTTTAATGATTATTTATTGATTTAATCTCATAATTCAATAAATTATTTTAGACTAGTCATTGGTCTTAAAACAAAATGTCTGGCAATATTAGAAAGCTCTACATAAGTAGAATATAAATTCTAATAACATCACTTTTTGTACACTGTTTTAATATTTTAGTAGATGGGGTTTCACAATTAAACAAAAAAGACGTACTTAAAATGTAAAACATCAGCTTCTAACAACTTCAATGCCACATATATATTACTGATACCTTTAATAATATATCTTATAATAGCTATATAATCTAAACTATTATAAATAAATTATGAAAAAAAATTTTTTTT